GCACAGCTCAGGCTCCCAGCTCCCCGAAATCCAGGGACACACTGCCCGCTCCCAGTCAATGCTCCATCGTCACACAAAGGGAGCATGGAGGGGGAAGTGGGATGGTGAAAATATCTAAATAAGCAACAATCAGGGAAAAAGGCTCCTGTGGGGATTGAGTTCCCCAGGGATGGGGTGCAATGCCCGTCCTTTTTTCACTGCCAGCACAGCTTGGTGCCCACGAGCCATTCACTATTGCTGTCCCTGTCTCTGTCACTGCCACGAGGTCAGACATGAGCCTGGCTAAAGGAAAAGGGCTCATTAACCCCTCTGATGAAATAATCGTCACTTTGGAGACATTTTTCCTTGAAAAGGATGAACCAGCATATGTATTTGTAAGGAGCCCCGCTGCCCCCAGCCTTGGGTGGAAGCAGCAGCAGGTTTGGGGCAGGCTGAGACTGTCACCAAGCCCGGCAGGCTGACAGCCTCTCTCAGGTCCCAAGAACATCTCAGGGGTACTGGTGGCATCACCCTTGAGACATCACCAGCCTCTGGGAGAGGGATTGTTGCCTGCAAGGTGGTGAGCAGAGATTTTCCATCCAGCCTCTGGATTCAATTCCAGCTCTGGCCATCTCAGTTGTGCAGACACCCTGCCCTGAGAGACAGTTTCTCCACACACAATACCGAGGAAATAATGCTGCAAAACCCCCACCTCACAAGCAGCCATGCAGAATGGTGAGGCACAGAAGAATCTCATCTAATTTTAACTCCCCTGACGGATGGGCTTTGTTCTTTGCAGCAGCTGCCCCGCAAGGTATGAAAACACTCAGATATGTTGACATGGGAAAACAAAACACACAAATCAGCCCATTTTCCTCTTCAAGGCTGATTTATCTGGAGCTGTCAGTGGAGGGAGGGGAAGTGATGAGCCCTGGGGAGATGGAGGAGCAGCCTGGACTCGCAGCTCGGTGGTTACCAGTGCAGTTGAGCTGATGCTCATCGAGCATCTGGTCCATTCTCTCCCAAGCCCCAAAACATCTCAGATCTACAGAAAACAAAGTGACATTTTCTGCTGCAATTCCCCAAGATGTGATTCTGTGCATGTCCCAGCTCATCCTCATAAATGAAGGGAGCTAGATGTCAATGTAGCCCCCTCAAAGTGGTTCACCACAAGCTGAGCTCCATCCTGGTGCCCCCATCATGCTGACTATTTGGTTCTCTGAGTTGGGATGGGTGGGACCAGACCCTGGAGAATGGTGGCAGCAGCTCAGGGGGAGGAGAGGAGGCTGGTAAATCCCTCTGCAAGGGTTGGTGCATCACTTGTATAAGGAGAAGGAAGGAAGGAAGGAAGGAAGGAAGGA